CCCCTCATGGATGGTTGTGAAGATCAAATGAAATAATGGGTATAAACAGTAGAATGACATGCAAACACAAAGTGTTGTCATCCCAGCTTCACCGACTCACAGAACCATGCTAGTCTCCAGACCTTAGTACAGCCCCTTATGGTTGCAAAGAAGGGAAAATGAAGTCCAGAAAGGGGAAGTTGCCATTAGCTTGTGAACTTCTTAGTATCTGTTCAGTCAATAAGTATTTAGGTCCTTGTAGTGTTCTCAGGACTAGGGAAAAAGTAGCAAACAGAAAGACAAAACCCCCAGTGCTAATAAATCTTAACAGTGATACAATCACGGCTCACTGCAGCCTCAACCTCCCTGGGCTCAGGTGATCTTCCTGTCTCAGTCTCTTAAGTAGCTAGGAGTACAAGCATGCACTACCACACCTCGCTAATTTTTGCATTTTTTGTAGAGACTGGGTTTTGCCATGTTGCCAAGACTGGTCTCGAACTCTTGGCTCAAGTGATCCACCTGCCTTGGCCTCCCAAAGTGCTGGGATTACAAGCATGAGCCACTGTGCCCGGCCACATTATTTAAAATAAGTAAAATATGTAGTATGTTAGGTATTGAAAATGCAATGTAGGGGTGGGGTGCGGTGGCTCACACCTGTAATCCCAGCACTTTGGAAGGCCGAGGCGGGCGGATCACAAGGTCAAGATACCAAGACCATCCTGGTCAAATGGTGAAACCCCATCTCTATTAAAAATACAAAAAATTAGCTGGGCATGGTGGTGCGTGCCTGTAATCCCAGCTACTCGGGAGGCTGAGGCAGGAGAATTGCCTGAACCCAGGAGGCGGAGGTTGCAGTGAGCCGAGATCGTGCCATTGCACTCCAGCCTGGGTAACAAGAGCGAAACTCCGTCTCAAAAAAGGAAAAAAAAAAAAAAAAAAAAAAAGAAAATGCAATGTCAAGAAAGGAGGGAAGTGAAAGTATGAGTTTGTTGGGCGTATGTGTTATAGACAGTCTCACTGAAAAGGTGACATTTGATCAAAGATCTTAAGAAAGATCGTGGCAAGCCATGTGGCTATCTGGGGGAAGAATATTTTGGACAGAACAGCAAGTACGAAGGCCTTGAGGCAGAATTGTGCCCGCTCAAGGATCCACAGAGTTGGTTGGTATGGCTGGAATTGCATGAGAATGGATGGAGGAGGGTGGCAGGAGTTGGTGTCAGAGAGGCAGAGAGTGCAGTGCTTCGTTACCAGCGTAGAATGAATACCTAGTAAAAAATTTGTTGAAGTTACTTTGTTTTTGTTTTTTTCAGATCAGCCAGAGGGTGAACTCTCTAGGAAGGGTCTTCATTGTCACTCAGCCACTACTCTCCCCTGCCCCCTGCACAACCAATGCTATTTTAGTTCAACATATGACTCTTAGTGAATGCCTAGAGCTGGTACTAGAGCTTTCAAATGTTTTGACCACAACCAACCCGTAAGAAATACATTTCAAGGGGCCAGGCACTGTGGCCTGTAATCCCAGCACTTTGGGAAGGTGAGGCGGGCAGATCATGAGGTCAGGAGTTTGAGACCAGCCTGGCCAACCTGGTGAAACCCCATTTCTACTAAAAATACAAAAATTAGACTGGGTGCAGTGGCCCACACCTGTTATTCCAGCACTCTGGGAGGCCGAGGCAGGCAGATCACCTGAGGTCAGGAATTCAAGACCAGCCTGGCTAACATAGTGAAACCCATTTCTACTAAAAATACAAAAAATTAGCCAGGTGTATTGGCATGCACCTGTAATCCCAGCTACTCAGGAGGCTGAGGCAGGAGAATCACTTGAACCTGGGAGGTGGAGGTTGCAGTGAGCCAAGATCACACCGTTGCACTCTAGCTTGGGCAACAAGCGTGAAACTCCATTTAACATGTATATATATATGTATACACACACACACACATATAAAAATTAGCCCAGTGTGGTGGCGTTTGCCTGTAATCCCAGCTACTCAGGAGACTGAGGTAGGAGAATCGCTTGAACCTGGGAGGCAGAGGTTGCAGTGAGCTGAGATGGCCCGGCTTTTTTTTTTTTTTTTTTTTTTTTTTTTAAAGACGGGGTTTCACTATGTTGGTCAGGCTGGTCTTGAACTCCCGACCTCGTGATCCGACCGCCTTGGCCTCCAAAGTGCTTGGATTACAGGCATGAGCCACCACGCCCGGGCTTTTTTGTTTTTTAACACTGATCAACCTTCTTAATTTATCTCCTAACTGTGGTGTCAAACCTGCAGTTTGAAAAACATGACCATGGGAAAAGAGGAGAAATATCAGTTGGGTTACTGCTCCCATGCCCCTCTCAGTATCTGTGGGGTGAGCTCATAGTAATAACGTCACTCAGCCGGGCACGGTGGCTCAAGCCTGTAATCCCAGCACTTTGGGAGGCCGAGGCGAGTGGATCACGAGGTCAAGAGATCGAGACCATCCTGGTCAACATGGTGAAAACCTGTCTCTACTAAAAATACAAAAAATTAGCTGGGCATGGTGGCGCGTGCCTGTAATCCCAGCTACTCAGGAAGCTGAGGCAGGAGAATTGCCTGAACCCGGGAGGCGGAGGTTGCGGTGAGCCTGGGTAACGAGCGAAACTAGGTAACAAGAGCGTGCCTTGGCACTCCAGCCTGGGTAACAAGAGCGAAACTCCATCTCAAAAAAAAATAAAATAAAATAACATCACTCGTTTGGACAACTGTTGGCAGATACAAGATTTCATGTGTATTGGCACCCTCACCAACTGGGATGAGGTAGGGGGTTACAGAAAGAGAAACTGAGTTTCTGAAAGACTGAGTACTTCCCAGAGTAACGTGGTTAGTAGATGGCTATGCCGAGACTGGGACCTGGGCTCAGAATCCCATGTCCAGGGCTGTGGCCAAAAGCTTTTCTGCTGAACCTCCTGCTGTGCCCAGGGCATGGGAAAAAATATAGTCTCTCTGGGGCCAGAGAAACCTTTGGGGAAAGAGGGTGCTAAGGGTGCCAAGCAGAACATCACATCCCATCCTATCACCACCCCACCCCCCCCCAGGAGGGCCGTGTAGCCATCACCCGAGTGGCCAACCTTCTGCTGTGTATGTATGCCAAGGAGACCGTGGGCTTTGGAATGCTCAAGGCCAAGGTTCGTATATGCCCATCTTCCACAGCCCTGGACCCAGCCTTTGTGCTCCCCCACTGTGTCCACTCCCACCAGGACCCTGTTTTTAGAGTCTTCATGTCTACTCAGTCCATTTCTGGTATGGGCCAGCTCCCAAGAGCAGGCGGGGGTTGGGGCTGGTTGCTCCCTATGGCACTGGGAGCAGACCTGGATTTGGGATTCCCAGGGGCTGGCCATGTGCGGGACTGATTTCTGTTCTCCCTCTTGTAGGCCCAGGCTTTAGTGCAGTACCTGGAGGAGCCCCTCACCCAAGTTGCAGCATCTTAATGGCATTGGTGGAAGCTGGGGTTAGAAAAGAGAAATGACCATTTGGAGGGGCGGGGCCTCCTAGAAGAACCTTCTTGGGCAATGCCGGGAGGATGGGACTTTGTTTTTTCTAAGAATAAACTTCAACTCCTGTCATGTGTCTTGGCTGCTTTCTTGGTTGGGAGGGATCAAAGAAGGCAGGAAGAAGCAGGCATTGCTTCTAGGATTCCTCGTGTTCTGCAAGGATGGACTTCCGCCCGCCCCTTCACCGTGACCTCCCATGACCAAATGGCTCAGAGGAGCAGGGGTCTGCTGGGGTTGTGTTGCCCAGAGAATATAAAGGCCCTGGGAAGTCGCTGTTTTATTCCAGGTTTTGGGGGTGGATGTCTTGTCTTTTATTTTTTTGAGAGGGTCTCCCTCTGTTGCCCAGGCTATAATGCAGTGACATACACAATCTCAGCTCACTGCAGGCTCAACATCCTGGCTCAAGCGATTCTACCTCAGCCTCCTGAGTTGCTGGGAGTATAGGCACACACCATTGTGCCTAGATAATTGTGGGGGGTTTTGTGTGTGTGTTTTTGGGTTTGGGTTTTTTGTTTGTTTGTTCGTTTGTTTTTTGCAGCGATGAGGTCCCAATATGTTACCCAGGCTGGTCTCCAACTGGGCTCAAACCATTCTCCTGCCTCCCAGAGTACTGGGATTACAGACATGAACCACTACAACCGCCCGGTGAGTGCCTTTTCTATTTGTGGTGTTGGGAGGGTACCCCAATAGCCTAGAATGAGCCATTCCTTTCCTCTTCCTCCAGGTGTTCGTGTGCTTACACAGACCCTCCCCAGATCCTGAGGCCCTCTGCAGACATGATGCCTTTGCTGTGAGGCCTCAGGTCCTGTACAGGGACTAGAAGTAACGCAGACCTCCCAAAGACCTTCAGCTCCAGATCTTGCTCCTACACTAGACCATTCGCCCCAGCTGTCCGTTTCTGCTCAGGCTCTCTCCCTACCTAGTGTCCTTAAAGCAGGTCTGCAGAGGGAGCTACCAGCCCCCTTCCCCAGTGCCATAGAAAGGAACCCATCCCAAAGAAGTGGGTAGGTTTCGAGTCCCAGCTCCACCCAAGATGAGAAACACTGCCCATCCCAGGCCCTGGGCTGTTAAGGAGGGGCAGAAGCTACTGTGGCCATGATGTGGCTCCCAGAGCTCTGCATTGCAGCAGGGTGACTGGTGTTCTGCCACTGCCTGGTCCACTATCCCTTACTCTGGTTCTCCCAGTGTACTCCCTGACCAGGAGCTCTGAAGAAAAAGCAAGCCAAGTAGGTTTCTTTTTTCTTTTTATTTTTTCGAGATGGAGTCTCACTCTGTTGTCCAGGCTGGAGTGCAATGGTGTGATCTTGGCTCACTGCAACCTCTGCCTCCCGGGTTCAAACGATTCTCCTACCTCAGCCTCCCAAGTAGCTGGGATTACAGGCGCCCACCACCACACCTGGCTAATTTTTGTATTTTTAGTAGAGACTGGTTTTCACCATGTTCGCCAGGCTGGTCTCAAACCCCTGACCTCAGACCTCCCAAAGTGCTGTGATTACAGGCCTGGCCTCCAGTGGATTTCTGAGGGGCTATCGGTTGCTCATTAGTTGCGGGGCCTGCCCTCACCACAGATTCCAGAAAGCCCAGCAATGCACACTCAGCCCTCAGTGGGCCGTCTCTGAAGGTTCTGTCCCTGTTTCTCGCTGGTTCTCCGGCCTGCAGGAGCCCAGGCTGAGAGCAGACACCCAACCTGCCGAACCTGTCTGACGTCATCGTCTCTCCACCCACCTGGGCCCCAGGTCTCCAGCCGCCCAGCTCTTCCTGTTCTCAGCTTCCGTCCTCTCAGCCTCCTCACAGCACCCCCACCTGCCAGAGCTGATCTTCCCTAGGCCCTGCCTAACCTTGAGTTGGCCCCCAATCCCCCTGGCTGCAAAAGTCTCCTTACCGCCAATGAGAGGAGGGGCAGGCCCAGATCTTTTGCGAGCTGAGGGTTGAAGGCATTGAGCCAACACAGAGACTTGTCACCTCTGACCCCGAAGACACCTGCACCCTCCATGCGGAGCCAAGATGGGGAATGGAAAGGAAGAAGATTATAACTTTGTCTTCAAGGGTGAGTTGGGGTTCCTGAAGCAAGAGGAAGCCTGAGAGATCCAGAAAGATTGTTAGTGCCAGAGAGGGCCCCCTCCTGTTTTATATCTACCAGAAACCCCTGGGGCTCCTCATTCCTTCAGAAAGAAAGCTGCAGGGAGTCGGGGAGGATCTGGTTGCAGGGGCAAAAGTCAGGGGGCTTCTGAGTATTCCCTACTCTGATAAATGATGATGTCTATCTCTCCTTTAGAGAGCTGAGTTAGGCTCCTCTGCCCTGTTCCTAACAGAAACCCAAATCCCTGGTGTTAGCCAGTGCAGCACAAGAGATGGAGGTCAGACTTCAGAAAGGACTTCCCTCTTGAGAAGAAAGGGAAACCAGCAGACAAGAGGAAAAAAGCCATTTTTTCTGGGCAGGTGTACAGGGAAGGACAGAAAGGAGAGGCCTAGCCCTTTATAGGGTGGGGTAATACATGCATAGGGAAGACAGAAAATATCATGAGTCTGATAGAATCCGGACGACTCCCAGGGACTCCTAGCCTTGTCTGCCTGTTCTTTGGACCTCATACCAGGCACTGGGCTCAACTTGGCTGTGCCTGGAAGCAGGCATGTATCTTTCCAGCCCCTGGGTTTGGTCCCCCTGTTGTTTCTCAGCCCCACCTCCATACTTGCTTCAGGGCGGGGTATAGTCTCCAGCCACCCTACCCCACTGCCTCTCCCAACCTCAGCCCGGCCCTCCCCTGAGCTGGGACTCTCACTGTAGCACCCGCCCTCGAGCTGAGCTGGGGAACCTGTACTACCGGCATCCTGGAAAAGGTCAGCAATAGTCTGGGGTAATAATACGAGGAACTACCATTTATTGAGCACTTACTATGTACCAGCCACTACCTCATTAATACCATAACAATCCCCAAAAGTTATCTTGTATTTGGAGGGGCAGTGTAACATGGTGGTCGGTAGCCAGACTGAGCTCAGATCTCAGTCCTGACACTTAGAAGTATTGCGGGTTGGTCAGCCGGGTCTGGTGGCTCACCCCTGTAATCCCAGCACTTTGGGAGGCCAAGGCTGGGGGAATCACTTGAGGGCAGGAGTTTGAGACCAGCCTGGCCAACATGGTGAAACCCTGTCTCTACTAAAAATACAAAAATAACCAGGCATGGTGGCAGGTACCTGTAATCTCAGCTACTCGGGAGGCTGAGACAAGAGAATTGCTTGAACCCGAGAGGCAGAGGTTAGAGTGAGCCAAGATCGCGCCACTGCACTCCAGCCTGGGCAACAGAGTGAGACTCTGTCTCAAAAAAAAGTATTGAGGGTTGGGTTCCCCAGAAGCAGACGCTGAGAAGAAGTTGGGGTGTTCAATGTTTTTTTATGAATCAGCACCTGTGAAAGGGAGAGGAAACAGAATCGGGCAGAGGAAGAAGGCCAAACAGCAACACAGGCTTGACAAAGCGTGGGTCAAGGGCGGGGAGCTCTGTGATTGCTCCACTCTGCTTGAGCACTGGGTGTAGGCTGCCTAGAAAAGGCATCACTTCCAGTGAGGCTGCTGTCTGCACCAGAGGCAGACGCTGAAGGAGCTGACGGCTGGAGCCTGTCTACAGCCTGCACTCCCTGCAGCCGGGTGCAAATCCTTCCGGAAGGCTGATCCGGCCAGCACATCTGTGTGTTTACAACACTAGCCCTGTTATCTTGGGCAAGTCATTTAACTCCAAAGCGCCCTATCTGTAAAAACAGGAAAAATAGCCGGGCACGGTGGCTCAAGCCTGTAATCCCAGCACTTTGGGAGGCCGAGGCGGGTGGATCACGAGGTCAAGAGATCGAGACCATCCTGGTCAACATGGTGAAACCCCATCTCTACTAAAAATACAAAATTAGCCAGGCATGGTGGTACATGCCTGTAATCCCAGCTACTCAGGAAGCTGAGGCAGGAGAATTGCTTGAATCCAGAAGGCGGAGGTTGCAGTGAGCCGAGATCTTGCCACTGCACTCTAGCCTGGCGCCTGGCAACAAAGTGAGACTCTGTCTCAAAAAAAAGAAGAAGAAAAAGAAAGTAAAAAAAAAAAAAATCCTTATTTGTGTAGGACAGTATGGAAAAGCTGGAAATAATATGGATATGTGTAAGAGGATGTGCATGCGTGTGCGTGTGTGTGTGTGTGTGCACATGAGCATGTGTTCCTGCGTTCCTGCCTCTCCCCTGCTAAGCACATCCCCCTCTCATCCCTCTCAATGGATGGGCTCTCAACCCTAGCTTCATACCCCAAAGGTGCTCAGGGCAAGAGCGTTGGAGTCAGACTTTGTGGCCTTTTTTTTTTTTGAGACGGAGTTTCACTCTTGTTACCCAGGCTGGAGTGCAATGGCGCAATCTCGGCTCACCGCAACCTCCACCTCCTGGGTTCAAGCAATTGTCCTGCCTCAGCCTCCCGAGTAGCTGGGATTACAGGCACGTGCCACCATGCCCAGCTAATTTTTTGTATTTTTAGTAGAGACGGGGTTTCACCATGTTGACCAGGATGGTCGCGATCTCTTGACCTCGTGATCTACCCGTCCCGGCCTCCCAAAGACGTAGGATTGCAGGTGTGAGCCACCATGCCAGGCCTATTTTTTTATTTTTATTTTTTGAGACACCATTTCACTGTCACCGAGATTGGGGTGCAGTGGTGCCATCATAGCTCATTGCAGCCACAATCTGCAGGGTTCAAGCAATCCTTCCACGTCAACCTCTTGAGTAGCTGGGACTACATGCACATGCCATCACACTTGGCTATTTTTTTTTTTTTTCGTTTTTTTTTTTTTTTGAGACAGAGTCTTGCTCTGTCACCAAGCTGGAGTGCAGTGGCGAAATCTTGGCTCACTGCAACCTCCGCCTCCTAGGTTCAAGCGATTCTTCCGCCTCAGCCTCCCGAGTAGCTGGGACCACAGGCGTGTGCCACCACGCCCAGCTAATTTTTTTTTTCCTTTGAAACGGAGTTTCACTCTTGTTACCCAGGCTGGAGTGCAATGGGTGCAATCTCGGCTCACCACAACCTCTGTCTCCTGGGTTCAAGCAATTCTCCTGCCTCAGCCTCCCGCGTACCTAGGACTACAGGCATGCGCCACTATGCCCAGCTAATTTTTGTATTTTTAGTAGACACAGGGTTTCACCGTTTTGGCCAGGATGGTTTCCATCTCTTGACCTCCAAAGTGCTGGGATTACAGGCGTGAGCCACCGTGCCCAGCCTCTTTATTTTTTTGAGCTGGTGTCTCACTCTGTCACCCAGGCTGGAGTGCAGTGGCACAAACCCAGCTCATTGCAACCTCTGCTCCCCGAGGCTCAAGCAATCCTCCTACCCCAGCCTTCCATGTAGCTGAGACTATGGTCACGTGCCACCATGCTCAGCTAATTTTTTAATTTTTTGTAGAGATGGGGTTTCACCGTGTTGCCCAGGCTGGTCTCAAACTCATAGGCTCAAGAGATCCTCCCGCCTTGGCCTCCCAAAGTGCTGGGATTACAAGCGCAAACCTCCACACCCAGACAAGGAAATTTTAAAGTTGGAGGAGGCCTTTATGGGTTGTGTAGACAAGGAAGCACAGACTGAGGAAAGGCAAGTCATTTGTTCAAGTTCACACGGCTAGTTAGAAGCTGAGCAGGGCCCAGAGCCCACACTGTGTGGCTCCCAGTCCTTGGGTGCCAGCCACCTTTCCAGAACGACTCCGATGACCCTGTAACTCTGGGTGCTCAGCTCAGTGCCAGTGCAATTTGTGAGTTGTTCTTACATCAGCCCCCTATACTCTCTCTACCCCAGACCCCAGTTCATCCACAGTGCGTAAGGCTGGGCCCTGGATGCTGCCCACCAGTCTGTCATCACGGCCTCTCTGGTGGATCCTTGTCTCTGCAAATCCAAAGGCAAAAACTCTGGCCTACTAACAACAATCATACCCATAGTGATTTTTATACTTATTATATCCCGGGCAACATCTCACTTACTTCCTACAACAACCCTTAATGTAGATACTGATGTTTTCTTAATTTTCATATGAAAAGGACAGCTCAGAGAGGTTAAAGAACTTGCTGATGGACACACAGCTGGTCTAACACCCAACCCCATGCTCTTAACCATGTAGGACTGCCCCCTCCTTAGAGACAACTGGAACCTAACTTTTTTTTTTTTTTTTTTTTTTAGAGATGGGGTCTCTCCATGTTGGCCAGGCTGGTCTCTGGTCTCAAACTCCTGACCTCAGGTGATCCACCCACCTCGACCTCCCAAAGTGCTGGGATTACAGGCATGAGCCACCACGCCCAGCCTTTTTTTTTTTTTTTTTTTTTTTTTGAGACAGAGTCTCACTGTGTCACCCAGGCTGGGAGTACAGTGGCGCGATCTTAGCTCACTGCAACTTCCGGCCTCCCAGGTTCAAGTGATTCTCCTGCCTCAGCCTCCTCAATAGCTGGGGAATTACAGGCACCTACTCACCATGCCTGGCTAATTTTTGTATTTTTAGTAGCGACGGGGTTTCACCATGTTGGCCAAGATGGTGTTGAACTCCTGACCTCAGATGATCTGTCCACCTCGGCCTTCCAAAGTGCTGGAATTACAGGCATGAGCCACCACGCCCGGCCCTGGAACCTAACTTCTTATACATACATGAGCACACATGCCTTCCTTTCACCCACAGATGTGTCAACTGCCAAACTTTCTTCTTACCCACACTTTGATTCACACCTCTGTTCCTTATGCAAACATACACACCAAACCTCCCACAATCCCGGCTCATATATATAGAAACAAGCACAGTGTTCTCATACTCCTAGTCCTGGTCCAGAACTGTGCACCCCCCGACCTCCCACCATCCCTGTCCATATTCACACACAACAGTCATGTCTCCACACGACACTCATAAAGAGCCCACAGATGTCACTCCCTCACTAGAGATGCAGGCTGACTCCGCAACCATGTCTCAGCAGACCAGGCTATAACCCTTCAAGCCCCTTTGTTTGTTTTAAACTCTTGGCTTTTCTGCCCACCAGGACGGATGCATTATGCAGAGCTGCAGACTCCAGTCTCACAGGAGACCCTGCTCCCTAATTTTTTTCTCTGAGTTCTGTTCCCTTTTTCTGCTGGGCAGACCCTCCAAGCTCAGCTGGGCTTGGAGCTGCTCAACCCCATGCTCAGCCCTTATCTCTCCACTCCTTCAGTGGTGCTGATCGGCGAATCAGGTGTGGGGAAGACCAATCTGCTCTCCCGATTCACGCGCAATGAGTTCAGCCACGACAGCCGCACCACCATCGGGGTTGAGTTCTCCACCCGCACTGTGATGTTGGGCACCGCTGCTGTCAAGGCTCAGATCTGGGACACAGCTGGCCTGGAGCGGTACCGAGCCATCACCTCGGCGTGAGCCTGGGCCTGGGGGCTGCTGGGTGGTGGGAGTTCTGGGGAAGTCAGGGAACACTTCTGGAGGAGGAGGAGGCAAGGGGGCTCAGCGGTGGGCTCCGGGGGGCGGGGAGGGGGACGGATCTCAGAAGATACAAGGTACTGTAAACAGAAACAGCCCAAGCCGGGATATAATAACACTGACTAGTACCACCGAAAGCAGGAATCATCGCCACTTACTAAGCCTTTGCTACGTGCCCAGGAAGGAACAAGGCATTTTACGTTTGGCGTTTTATGTAACCCTTAAAGTATCACAAGAGTAAAGTGCTATAATTAATTAATTCCTATATAAATACAAGCAAGGTGAAATCAGGGTGGAGCTGGGATGGGGGCACGCTGCATGGATCGAGAGCGCCCCCTCACTTCTGCACAGTGCTCTGCACTTGGCAATTTTCATCTTAACCACAGATGGCCAAAAGCTGAACCTGGCATCTGCATTTTATGAAGACTCAGAGGACACACAGGAGGCCTCCTGACACCACATCCGAAGTGTCTCTTAGGCTGGGTGCGTTGGCTCACACCTGTAATCCCAGCACTTTGGGAGGCCAAGGCGGGTGGATCATTTGAGCTCACAAATTTGAGACCACTCAGGGCAACGTGGCAAAATCCTGTCTGTACCAAAAATATTAAAAATTAGCTGGGCATGGCGGTACATACCTGTAGTCCCAGATACTCAGGAAGTTAAGGTGGGAGGATGGCTCAAACCGGAAGGCAGAGGTTGCAATGAACTGAAATCGCCCCACTGCACTCCAACCTGGGTGACAAAGTGAGACTGTATCTCAAGAAAAAAGTGTCAGCAGGCGTGGTAGCTCACGCCTGTAATCCCAGCAGTTTGGGAGGCCAAGGCAGGTGGATCACCTGAAGTCAGGAGTTCAAGACCAGCCTGGCCAACATAGCAAAACCCCGTCTCTACTAAAAATTGGCTGGGTGTGGTGGTGTGTGCCTGTAATCCCAGCTACTTGGGAGGCTGAGACAGGAGAATCACTTAGACCCAGGAGACGGAGGTTGCAGTGAGCCAAGATTGCGCCATTGCAATACAGCCTGAGTGACAAGGGCAAAACTCTGTCTCAAAAATAGAAAAAAGAAAAATGTCTTCCAGTCAGTGTGAGGCCTAAGCATGTGAAATGGGGTCTGTTTGTGTGTTTATGGGGTGGATAACGCTTGCCAGGGGGCAGGAAGCAAGAGGCAGGGGCTTTGGTCACACACCCCTGAAAGGTCCACACACATTCATCACTCCTTGTTACCTGACCTCTTCTGAGCCTCAGTTGACTCATCAATAAATTGGGAGTTAGGCATCACCAGTCTGAAGGCACCCCATCCAACTCCAAGAGGGAGGCCGGATGCTTGCAGTGATGGTCAGGCCAGGGACTACTGCAAGGGGTAGGCATTCAGCTGGTCCTAGAACCACGGCCACAGGAGAGAAGAGCACACTGTTGAGGAGCCATGTGAGGAAGATCTTGAAGGTGGAAGATTTGGCTGAAGCCCAGATGTGCATTGGTGGAGAGCAGGGGCTAAAATCAGGACAAGGACCTGAGAAAGCAGAGGGGCCGGCTATGAGGGAGCCAGTGGAGATTTTAGAACAGTGAGGTGAAACTTTAGAGGCTCCCAGACCAGCGTCCCTGGAAGGCAGAGGAGACTTGAGCTGCCCTGTTGGGTTTTGGGCCCCTGGCCCCAAGTTTCTGTATTTCCTGACCTCTAATACTCTGATCCTGGGCGTTCCAGCTTGATGGCTCTGCTCTGATGCTGGATCCAATGCCCCTGATTGTATCTCTGTCCATCCTTCTCATTCCCACCCAGGTACTATCGTGGTGCAGTGGGAGCCCTCCTGGTGTTTGACCTAACGAAGCACCACACCTATGCTGTGGTGGAGCGCTGGCTGAAGGAGCTCTATGACCATGCTGAAGCCACAATCGTTGTCATGCTCGTGGGTAACAAGAGTGACCTCAGCCAGGCCCGCGAAGTGCCCACTGAGGAGGCCCGCATGTTCGCTGGTGAGAGCCTGCCACTACCAGGCTGACTCCTCCAAGCCTCCCACCTTCCCCTTGCAGCCTCCCAAGGCCTGGCCCCCACCCATAGACCCCCTACCCTGGCCTTCTTCCATACAGTCCTCTCCCTCATCCCCTCTTCCTCAGGATTTCCCAGCGCTTCCCCTCTGGGACTTTGTGTCTCCCATTATGTCCCACCACTTGCCCTGAGATTGTCTTTACAAGCAATTATTATTATTATTTTTTTGAGACGGAGTTTCGCTCTTGTGACCCAGGCTGGAGTGCAATGGCGCGATCTCGGCTCACCGCAACCTCCGCCTCCTGGTCTCAGGCAATTCTCCTGCCTCAGCCTCCTAAGTAGCTGGGATTACAGGCACGTGCCACCATGCCCAGCTAGTTTTATTGTATTTTTAGTAGAGACGGGGTTTCACCATGTTGACCAGGATGGTCTCGATCTTTCGACCTCGTGATCCACCCGCCTCGGCCTCCCAAAGTGCTGGGATTACAGGCTTGAGCCACCGCACCCAGCTACCAGCAATTATTTATAGTTGTTTTTTTTTTTGTGAGACCGAGTCTCAATCTGTTGCTGAGGCTGGAATGCAGTGGTGTGATCTCAGCTCACTCCAACCTCTGCCTTCTGGGTTCAAGCAATTCTCATGCCGCAGCCTCCTGAGTAACTGGGACTACAGATGTGTACCACCACATCTGGCTAATTTTTGTATTTTTAGTAGAGAGAGGGTTTTACCATGTTGGCCAGACTGGTCTCAAACTCCTGACCTCAGGTGATCCACCTGCCTTGACCTCCCAAAGTTCTGGGATTACAAGTGTGAGCCACTGTGCAGAATCTGTAGTTGATTTTAAGGCAGCTCCACCCTGCAACGTCAAAGATCCTGTGGAGAGGACAGGCTTCCCAGGAGTTTTCTGGTTTAGAGGCAGCACAATATGATGTCTTCTGGTTAAGGGTGTTCTGAAGTCCCATGCCCCAGCCTCCCATCTGCTCTTGGCCAGTTACTAAACGGAGCAAGTTTCTTATTCATTTTCTTTGTGTTTCTGCGTTCAGTTTTCTAAATGAACCTACCTCATAAGTTGTTTTAAGGATCAAATGAACTGCTACATGCCTAGAGTTTAGCACACAGCAAATGTATATAGCAAACATTATTTGTTATTATTATTATTATTATTGTTGCCTTTGATTCCCACAATTAATGGTGTGTTTTGCTTCCTGGCAGAAAACAATGGACTGCTCTTCCTGGAGACCTCAGCCCTGGACTCCACCAACGTTGAGCTAGCCTTTGAGACTGTCCTAAAAGGTTCGAGACTACCTTTCTTCTGCACCCTATTCCATCCCCGTGGCTTCTGCGGGCAGCAGTAGGAATGCAGACACTCAGCCCTCACCCCAGCTAATTCCTCAGCTCCTCTGTGGGCCCTGGCACCACTGCTTGTCCCCCTCAGTCCCTCCCCAGTGCCTCGCACTCAGCCTGGAGCTCAGGGAGGGAACAGGCCACACTTCCCATGGGCTGACTCTTGGTTCCTTCTCCACCCAGGTAAGTAGAAGGGACCCCAATGTCCATACTCCATTTCCTGCTGCAAAACCTCCTGCAAATACAGCCACTCCCATGCTCAGAAGGGGCATGCAGTGTGTGCGTGGGGTCAGGGAGGAGGGAGCATGGGCTCTAAATCTTCTGGCCTAATCACTGCCCTCTCCCCTCCCAGAGATCTTTGAGAAGGTGTCCAAGCAGAGACAGAACAGCACCCGGACCAATGCCATCACTCTGGGCAGTGCTCAGGGTGGGCAGGAGCCTGGCTCTGGGGAGAAGAGGGCCTGTTGCATCAGCCTCTGACCTTGGCCAGCATCAGCCTGCCCCAACTGGCTTCTGGTACCCCCTGTCCCCACCTCAGCCCCAGGGCCTTTCCCTGCCCTTTGGTTCCAGATGTCAGACTGTTCCCTATTCACAGCACCCCCAGGGCCTTAAGGTCTTCATGCCCTATCACAAATACCTCTTTTATCTGTCCACTCCTCAGACTCAGACCCTCAAATAAAGCTGTTCTGTATCAACGCCTGGTCATCCTGCTGCCTCCCGTCTGTTCTTTCCTCTTCTGGTCTATGCCTCCCCTTCAACTTTGGCCCCTCCTCTGAGTCTCTAATCCCCTTCCTCCCTTTCCTCTGTCCTCCCCACCATACCTACTGCCCCTCAGGGCCAGCTGCCTCTGGAGTCCTGTGGTCTGGGGATGGTGCCAAGGGGACGAGAGGTGCCCGCCCTTCCCTCTGCCAACCCCCAGGGCAGGTGGGGGAGGGAGGAGAGCATGGAAGGGAGGGGGTATCTGGAAGGCGAGACAAAGGAAGCCATCGGCGGGCACCATCTGGTGCTGAGGGCCCTGGTGCCAAGAACTGAGGTCACTCCAATGCCAGGGGCAAGGGGAGGAGGCAGCGGGATACAAGGGAGAAGAGGGAGTCGGGGCCAGTCCTGTAGGTGTGTACTGGGGAAGGGGTTTTTAAGCCTGAGAGGTGGAAGGTCTAAGCCCTCCATCCAGATTTTTTTTTTTGAGATGGAGTCTCACTCTGTCACCCAGGCTGTGGGTGCAGTAGCGTAATCTCAGCTCACTGAAACCTCCGCCTCCCGGGTTCAAGCAATTCTCCCTGTCTTTGCCTCCCGAGTAGCTGGGATTACAGATGCCTGCCACCATGCCTGGCTAATTTCTGTATATTTAGTAGAGACAATGTTTTACCATGTTGGCCATGCTGGTCTCAAACTCCTGACCTCAGGTGATCCACGCACCTTAGCCTCCCAAAGTGCTGGGATTACAGGCTTCAATCACCAAGCCTGGCCCATCCAGTCTTCTTCCTGATCCCAAAGAAGAGGGATAGATTGGATCCAGTGGGGTAAATGGGGAGGATCCCTGTCTCTTAGCGCTCTGTCCCCTCTCCATGGAGCCTAGCAGATAGCTGTCCAGGTAGGATCTCTCTCACCCTGACTCACCTTCCCCTGGTTTTTTTTTTTTTTTTTTTGAGACAGAGTCTTGCTCTGTCACCAGGCTGGAGTGCAGTGACACAATATCAGCTCACTACAACCTCCGCCCCCCAGGTTCAAGCAATTCTCCTGCCTCAGCCTCCTGAGTAGCTGGGAATTCAAGTGCCCACCACCACACGCAGCTAATTTTTGTATTTTTAGTAGAGACAAGGTTTCACCATCTTGGCCAGGATGGTCTCCATCTCTTGATCTTGTGATCCGCCCACCTCAGCCTCCCAAAGTGCTGGGATTACAGGCTTGAGCCACTGTACCCAGCCTGTGTTTTTTTTTTTTTTTTTTTTTTTTTTTTTTTTTTTTTTTTTTTTTTTTTTGAGACGGAGTTTCGCTCTTGTTACCCAGGCTGGAGTGCAATGGCGCGATCTCGGCTCACCGCAACCTCCGCCTCCTGGGTTCAGGCAATTCTCCTGCCTCAGCCTCCAGAGTAGCTGGGATTACAGGCACGCGCCACCACGCCCGGCTAATTTTTTGTATTTTTAGTAGAGACGGGGTTTCACCATGTTGACCAGGATGGTCTCGATCTCTTGACCTCGTGATCCACCCGCCTCGGCCTCCCAAAGTGCTGGGATTACAGGCTTGAGCCACCGCGCCCGGCCTGTTTTTTTTTTTTTAAGACAGAGTCTCACTCTGTTGCCCAGGCTGGAGTGCAGTGGCATAATCTCTCAGCTCACTGCAACTTCTGCCTCCTGGGTCCAAGTGATTCTCCTGCCTCAGCCTCCAGAGTAGCTGAGACTACAGGCATGTGTTACCATGCCCAGCTAATTTTGTGTATTTTTGGTAGAGACGGGGTCTCGCTATATTGCCCAGGCTGGTCTTGAACTCCTGGCCTTAAGTGATCCATCTACCTCGGCCTCCCAAAGTTCTGGGATTACAAGCATGAGCCACTGTGCCCGACTAATTTTTGTGCTTTTAGTAGAGATGAGGTTTCACCATGTTGGCCAGGTTGGCCTGGCCACCTTCCCGTTCCTCAGGTGAGGAGGGAAGAAGGCCTGACCGCACCTCCAAAGAAGAGAAGGGAGTAAATGGAGAAAAAGGCAGGGGACTGAGAGCTTCGAGACTTGAGCAGAGAGCTACGGAGAGCTGACGGGGAGCGCAGGGTGGCGAGGAACTCTGGAGACATCCACTACTCGCAGGTGTGTAGGGAGCCCAGAACGACACTAGAGGAAACGCCAAGCTGCAATCCCCACCCAGAACCTCCCACTCACCCCAAGATGGCACAGACTCACATGCAGAGAACGAAGACAGAGCCTTAAGTAATAGTACTTTTAATAAAATTAAGTTCTTAATAGCACATTTAATACATTAACCCTCCCCCTTCTTGGTTTCTCTGCATTTTGTGCAACATCACTTTGACTTGATTATTCTTGGGTCTGTTTTATTTCCCGCCTTTATTTTGCTTTTGAAATCTTTTTCCTTGGTGGATTTGTTCGTGTCTTCACTAGATGCCTCAAATTAAGTCTGACCACAATCCTACTCTACTTTCTACAGTGGAGAGACCATCCTCCCTGCCCCAGGGCTGTCTCCACCCACCCCCCCTTCCCCACCCGCACCCTCGAGTGGGGAAGGGGAAGCCCTCCCCACCCCAGACGCTACCATCCCAAACTAGCGGGGTTTCTAGGACAAAAGAGCAGGGGGAATCTGTCCCTAGGTGGGGCGAGAAGAGTCAATTGGGGAGAGGGAGATGTGTTTGGGGTCTAGGGCCAGGGAGGGGCATGGCAGAGTCATTGGTGTAATAAAGCAGGCTCCTCCTGCCAAAGGGAGAGCCAAGGGGCCTCTCCACCCGCTTGGATGGGAGTGAAAGGCCCAATCTGATTGCAAGCTGGGGTTGGTAAAAGGCAAGTGCTTTAAAAGTACTGATTTCTCACATGCGGAGGTCAAGCTCCCCAGTTTCGTGTGGGGAGGGCAATACGTTCCCAGGCCAGGGCACAGTGGATGACCCCTACCTAGACACTTACAGATGGAGGTGGACTGGAGCAGAGGGTAGGGCTGGCGTGACCCAAAGTCCCTGTGCCTTTGCCCATGGGTATGCCTTTCTCCCAGGCCTTCAAGGACAGTGTCTCCACTCCACTCCGTGGGAAGTCCTTCTTGGAATCTAACTTTTGTAAGATAAGAAAGCACTTTGCAAGCAGGTGAAGAACCAGCCAACTTTAAAGAACGGTTACTGAGATTGTTACTACCACTGCTGCCATGGAGGTCAAAGCTAAATGGAGAGCTGGATGCAACAGGGGTAGGGGACTGATGCCCTCAGTGCTCTTGAAGCTCTGACGGTGAGAAGCACATGTGCATGTGTCTGTTTGTGGAATGACTTCCCAGGCTGTTGAGCTGATCTGTAGAGAAGTGGACCGAAGTCACACTTCAAGGAGGACCTCCTTTTAGGCCTGGGGGAAGTGGGCATGGGAGGGTTGGGGCTGAGCTGGCTCTGTCCTCTCTCAGGAGCCCCAGGAGAGGACATCGCACATTGGAGTATGGGCTGCCCAGGCATTAGGGTGCAAGTGAATGTGCTTGGCCTCCTCTGCTGCCCCCAGCGCAGCCCCTGTCTTATTGAGATGATCGGTGTGCATTGCACCCTTTCCAAGACCCTGGGAAATGAACCCCTCATTTCTTTGTCCTACATTTAAAAAAATCCAAGGATTCTCAGAATCAACCCCACCAGACTGGAAGCTCCCAATCTCAAACTAGCAACCTGCTCCAACCCTGGTATGTGAAGATGGGGCGACTCAGGGTGGACTCAGCCACTTCCCTCCTCTATTTATCTTTTCCTTACGACTTTTATACATTCTACTGGACCCAGCGGCCCTCAATGCTACTAAACTTTTAAGCTATCTGAATATCGTCTACTAAGTAACTAGTAATTGTTTCTTTCTCTCTCTAGGATTATATGAAATAAATTTGAATTATTATTATTAATAATTATTATTTTGTAGTACTTTCTTTTAAACCCCTCGGTTTCTCTTTTTCTTCTCTTTCTCTCTTGTTTTTGGTTTAAAAAAAAAAAAAAAAAAATCTAGTTCTCTTAAATCTCACACATCTCTGAGGGTTCCTACAGGCCTGCTAGGCCTCAGTTCCGGATTTCCCCTCCTCACTCGCCCCTGGGACAGGGCAGGGGAAAGTTGGGGGGGACACCCCAGGATCCTCAGTCCTTAGTCCTACAGCTTCTTCCTTTCTTGTTAATCCCTTTCTTTGTTTGGCTCTGCCGGCTCCCCTGAGGGGGAGGGGGAGAGGGGAGGAGGAGCCCAGGGAATGAAATCCAATCTACTGGAAGGACCCCAGAAGGGACCAGCTTCCCCCAGCTCCTCTCTCCACCATCCATCCCAGGATGCTCCCCCAAGAAAAGCAAATGACATTCCTCCCCAAAAAAAAGTGGGGGAAAAAAGCAACGTAAACCCAAACATATATTAAAAACACTTTTTTTAAGATTTAACTCTGAATACAAATGTATTTTTTTCTTCTTCTCTCCCTACATATATTCTAAACCTTCTAAAGTTTTTTTATTTTTTTAAGGATCACTTTATCATAAAATAAAATATCCTTTTCATATAATAAATTACCTAATAAAAAGTCTTTTTTTCATATTAGCCCAGGTTCTTTGCTACATTTATACGGTAATAAACGCCTTTATTAAAATAGAATATTAAATTATAAAGAACTGCTTTTTTTTTTTTTTTTTTGCTATTTTTGTTTTCTCTCCTCTGTGTCGGTGGCCTGTCTCGCTCCCTCTCATGCTCTCTTTCTCTCCTCTATTTTGTCTCTCACTATGCGTGTTTCGTGTTTGTTTCTAGGTTTGGCTCAATTGGTAAGGGTGGGATTGAAGTTGCTGAGCCCCCTAGTGTAACAGTCTTCTGCCTTTGTGGGTAAAGAGTGGAGAGGGGGAGGGGGATCGACAGACAGACATCCCTTCTTCCCACCCCCCTCCCCACCTGCCCCCGGTGACGGACCGAGGGTGCCCATTTGGTTTGGTTTCTATTGTACAGACATGTCAGGATGGCTCACATAGGCGGGAAGGAGGGAAGTTGTCACAGGGTATTTTTCTTGGCTGCGACCTCCTTCCTCTCCCCTCCCTGGCTGGTGTTCTGGAGGGGAAGGCTGTGGAGAGCTGTTAATTCTCGACAGGAGGAAAAGAGAGGAGGAAATCCCCTCTGCGCCTCCACCTCCACCACTTCTCCATCCAGGAAGAACGGGACTCTGGAGCTTTAAGCGCTCGGGCGATCACTCAGAACAGTCCCACCCCATTATTTACAAGGATCTCCTAGGACTCCCCGGGACTCCCACCCCTCCATCCTCTCTTGGCCCGGCCAGCGGAACCAGGAGGGTGGAGAGCTGGTGGCAGCCCCAACTGAGCAGGAGGGTAGCAACAAAGGGGGTTGCAAGGCGTGTAACAATATGTGATTCTCAGAACAGGCCCTGCTGCCCCCAATCCTGCTTTGCCCCGGGCTGACCCCTCTCTGAAGACCTGGCCTCTCCTCAGTCACAACGGGTGGGACAGAGACTCCATGATTTGCATGGAGGATTCAAGCTAATAAGGATTCAATCAAGGTTCAGGTCAGGCCGAGAGCGGGGCAGGAGTGGGGCAGGAGTGGGGCACCGCCTGGGAGGAGCAGCTCTTCCCTCAACCGGCCTCTCCTCCTGCCTCACGCCCTTTCCTGCTCCTTGAAAGAGCAGACATACTACTCTGGCGCCCCCACTTCCACCACCAGAAAATCCAGCCCAAGAACTACTCCCTAAATATAATGCCCATAGATGATGAAGGTGGGGGTTTGACCCTTTACCCCAGAATTAGTCCCCTCCTCACATTTTCACTGAGAATGGGGATACATTCCATCAAGAATTTGAGATGTTTCTTTGGAGGAGTGGGGGAGAGGGCCTCCAGACGCTTGAAGAGGAATGGGGGGACCATCAAAATCTTCTTCCCCCTACTTCTCCCCAGGAGGATGGTATCCCCAAAGCTGGGCTGGAAGGGGCAGGAGGGAGGGGGTGAAAGGGAAGAAAGACAAAGACGAGGAGGAGGCAGGGCTGGGAGTGACAGCCACCAAAGGAAAGCAAAGCAAAGAGCTGGAGGGAAAGGAAAGCGTTGAGAGGGAAGATCCCAAAGGAAGGGAAGATGGGCGGAGAGAGTGAAGGGAAACACTGGGGGGCAGGGGCAGAGAGGAGCGCTCCTCTCCAGATTCCTCTAGCCCAGCTTTGTGGGGACAGATGGCTTCTGAGCCCTTCAGCCATAGAAACGATTGACATGCTTTTCTGGCCCCCACCCCTAGATCTATGCAACTTCTGATAGGGCTCCAACTCCCTTACACTGCTGGAAACCGGGGACAGTTTCCCAAACAGGATACGGGGGTGGGGTGGGGGGTGGGGGTAAAGGGTCATGTTAGGAGGTCGGAGGTCAGGACCAGAGGGCTTGGGGATTGGAAAGAGCACCTCTAGATACAGGTGGTAATTCTCCCTCTCCCTTTTACCCACCCCCTCCTCAGAAGAAGGGGTGGAGTGACACACAGCTGGGGAGGTGGGCAGAGGGCGTCAGGATGCCTTAGCGGCCACCTCTGGCAAAACCAAAGTTTCTCTTAGCTGCTTCCAGATTGAAGGGTGTGTTGAGGTATCAGAGTTGTAACTCTAGTAAAATTTTCAGTCTGGCCCCCTCCCAATCTTTCCAGGACAGGGTGACCAGAGGCTCTGAAAGTGGCCCACCCTCCAGCCACCACTGCCTCCCTCCCCCCTTCCCCAGCGAGCGAGTATCTCTAAGCACCTTGCCTCTCAAATCACCGCTTTCCAAAAGGCCTTAGTGGAAAACAGGTCCAGGGTGGGCCCCCGTGGAGCAGGCCCCAGAGGCATGGGGCAAGGGGCTTAGGAGAATATTCGGATGGCTTGCGTGGCTGTGATGTGGCAGACGGGACACTCTGGGTCCGTCCTCTCGCAGATGCGTACTGCACACTCCATGCAGAACAGGTTGTGACCGCAGGGCACGAGGGCGGCAGTCACTTCGCTCTCAAAGCACACCATGCAATCCCGCCCGCCGCCGGGGCTCCGCAGGCCGCCCCCTCCAAGTTTAGAGAAGCCCTGGAGCGGCTCTCCCGGCGGGCGCCTCGGGAGTCCGGCCAGCTCGGGCCCCGCGGAAGCGGCAGGAGAGCGGTGAGCGCCCGGAGGCCCAGCGCGGGCCTTGGCGGAAGAGGAGGAGGAAGAGGAGGCCGAGGAGAAAAGCACAGAGGTGGGCGTGGCGTTCTCCTGGCCCGCCCACAGCGGGGGGCTAGTCTCGGCCACACCGTAGTACACGTCCTGCTTGCCCACGCCATAGCCGGGAAACAGGTACCCGCTGTAGCCAAAGTCCCCGCCCTGCTCACCCAGCCGTGGGGCCTCAAAGCCAGAGTCCACTCCGCACTCGCCGATGCAGCCCAGGCTGTTCTGCCGGAAGGTGGAGAGGGGCTTGCAGCCCGGCGGGTGCACCCGCCAGGCGTCGGAGTAGCGGCTATCGAGTGCTGCGTCGGGACTCCCCGCCAGGAAGTCGTTTTCATTGTTGTACTCGAGGATCTTGCCCGTGCGCACGGCGATGTGCGTCTCGATCTCCTCGCGCGCACGCTCCACGTTGCCCGGGGCACCCGTGATCTCGAACACGGGGTCGCGGTCGCGGCTTGGTGTGATAATGTATGTGTTGGTTTGCTGCTGGATGCGCTTGATGGTTGCCCCTTTGGGGCCCACCACCAGCCCCACCACGCGGTAGGGCACCCTCACGCGGATGGTCACCTGGCCGGGCAAAGCAGGAGCCACACCAAAGGCGGCGCCTGACTTGTTGCGGGAGGCGCGGATCATGGAGAAGTGCTCTGCTGCTGAGATGATTTCCCGCCGGGCTGTGGCCACGTCCTCCCGCCGCCCGGTCACCATGAACACGGGCTCCTCACCCCTCACCGGCGTCTTGATGTAGGTGTTGGTCTTGGCCCTCAGGGCCTTAATCTTGCAGCCTGGGATAGGGCGGGGAAAGAGAGAAACAAAGAAACACTGGCAGCGAGGTTTGTGCTGGGACCAATAAATTCCTGATCCTCACCCAAATACCCAGTCTCCCGGGAGCCCTTCAGTCTACCCTTTGAAATGCCCACGCTGCACACACAGTCCTGACTTGAACAACCCATTGATCAGATCTCAGATGTACCCTATGTCTCTCTCAACCACAGATTTCAAAATGTACCAACTTTTCCCGAGTTCCATTCAGGGCCAAATTCATTCACTCCTCAAAACCCCCAAATAATCACTGACCCTCCCTCCCACACAAGCTGGTAACTCAAATCTGTTCACAAACTACACTCCTTTCCCCCAACATTTGCTCTTCCTTCAATTTCTCTACTGATTTCTGACTACTCACAAACTTCCAAATCACTTAATCACCCCCATCTGTCACTGACCCTGATCTTTCCACAGAACCCCAATGTGCTAACTTCACAATCTACTCATCTGACCCTTGCTCATTAAAAGTGTCCTCCAAACTACCCAGGGACCACTGAAGGCGATCTGCTCTGTGACCTCCCCACACGTAGTTTCAGTGGGCCTCAAATTCACAGCGAGGTTGCAGCAACTGTTAGAGTGGGAGACTGGGAAGGGTCTGAGAATCAGAATTTCAAGGAGGAAAGGAGGAGTATGGAGATAAAGAAACTTCTGTGTGAGGGAGCAGTGCCCAACCCCGTGTCACTCTTGTCCCCCTGTCCCCTGGGGGCAAGAGAGCTGAGCTGGGCTGAGGGCCGAGTAGGGTGAGGGAGAGGTATTCTGGACCCACACCCTTGCTTTGAAGTAGGAATGAGTTAAAGCTGGGAGGTTTGGGAAAGGCAGGAAGAGAAAGAAAAAAAATGAGACAAAGAGAGACAAAGAGGGAGAAGGCAAGAGAGAGAGAGAGAGAGAGAGAGAGAGAGAGAGAGAGAGAGAGAAAGACCTGGGGCTGGACAAGTACCTTTCCTCCTTACCCACCTTCCCCTTCCTTGCTCCTAGCTTCACAGAGTCTCCAAGACTCATATCCTTTTGGGAAACACACATCACGTGTGTGAGTTCGCACACACGTACCTAAGAGGTGTGATGCACCGTGTGCCTTTATCTTAATAATACTTATGGGGCCAGCCTAATGTACACTTTCATACACCTCTTTTATACACATACACACACCAAGTCCCTGTGTTTCAGCCTTTCATACATCCCACTGTCCATCCCCATCCTCCCCAGCACACAAACAGCACATTCCTATACACACCCACACCCACGGCTTTCACCCATTCACTCACTCACACTCCTCTCTGAGCACAACTCACTATTCCCTTTCTCTCTCCATCCGAAACCAAGTGGTCATACTTTTCTGCCTCTGCCCCAGCCTTCCAACCAGAGACCTGAGGTGAGCTCATTTTTTCCTCCTTCCTCCACTCCAGATGGCAGCTTCTTCAATGCTGGCAGATTGGGGGGTGGGGGGAGAGAGTGGGTAGGGGGCCCCTCCCCTCACTTTTCTTTCTTTCTTTTTTTTATTTATTGCGACGGAGTCTTGCTCTTGTTGCCCAGGCTAGAGTGCAATGGTGCAATCTTGGCTCACTGCAACCTCCGCCTCTGGGGTTCAAGCCATTCTCCTGCCTCAGCCTCCAGAGTAGCTGGGATTACAGGCACCCACCACCACGCCCAGCTAATTCTTTGTATTTTTAGTAGAGACGGGGTTTCACTATGCTGGCCAGGCTGGTCTCGAACTCCTGACCTCAGGTGATCCACCCACCTTGGCCTCCCAAAGTGCTGGGATTACAGGCATGAGCCACCACACCCTGCCCCCTCCCCTCACTTTTAAAGAAGGAGAATTTGCTAGTTGCCTCTTGTCTTCAGACCTCTTGGCAGTTAAGAAGTCCTACCTGTTGTCCAGCCCACATCCTTGCTGCTTTAATGTCAGTAAATGATTGTTCTATTTTCCAGGTCTGGAGGGTCGAAGAACAGTGAACGCCCCTCTCCTACCATTTCTAATCACATATCGTTTGACGGGCACCTGGGTTGTGGCTCTAAGTTTTGGGCCCAAAACTTAAATGAGAGCTAGGTATATTTAGCTGTTGGGGTTCGGGTGAGAAGGACAGGCCGAGGCATCAGAGTAAGGAGAAATGTTAGAGGCCTGGAGGTACAAAACGGGTGGTGGGCCTCTTCCTGGGTTCTGCAACCCAGAAGAAGTGTCTCTTAAAGGGAAGACACACTGGGCTTCACCTTCCTAGAGGTCAAACAGAGAAGCACTAACACTGCAGCAGGAGGAGGGAGGTTAGACAAGAGGGAGGACTTCCATATACTTGACTGAGGGGCAAGCTTATCTTTTCTGAATTAAAAAAAAAAAAAAAAAATCCCCCTACTTTTAAGAGGGACAAGCCCATCTGATGCGGAGGCAGAAAAGGAAAGAATGACTCCATTAAATTCCGGGGCCTCCCAAGACCACCCCCACACCCACGAAAAGATAGCAGTGTCCCCGTCCCCACCCAGTTCCAGGGCTTTGGATCCCCAGTTTCTGACAAGAGGAAATCCAACTTTCTAAATCAGAAATCTCAAGACATGGAGTGCCCCGCGGGGGCTGAGGGCTGTGCAGGGGAGTGGCATCTTCCCCTCCTCCATTCTGGATCTCTCTGTGAAATCCCCCTAACCCCCAGCACTCCCGGTGGGTGAGGTGGGATGTGGAGTAGCGGCCCCCCGGGCCCGCCTCCCCTTTTCCTCCGCCCGAAGCCGGCCTCCTCCCGCACTCCCAGCCAGAATGCAGCTCCTCCATTGTTCCCCACTGTGGGACAGCTCCTCCCCCACTCCTCCCCCACCCCACACCTCCCCAGCCCAGCCCCTTGGCAATTTCCAAATCCCGCCCCCCCCACTCTCCTTTGAGAAGCCAGGAGAGGGAAGGGTCCCCAGGATCCCGTCTGCTCAATTTGGACCTTCACCAACACACCCACCCACCCACCCAGGGATGCTGGAGCAGCAGAGGGTGTGGTACCAGACATAGTACGCTGGATTAATTCTGCACCCCCTCCCAACACACCCAGACACACGCCTTCCACCAAATTTCCAGGTGAAGGTTTCCTACCCCCCAGCAGGCCCCCTCCTGCCCTGTCCTACTCTTTCACTACCAGAGACCCCTCTCTAGGCCTCTGGCCCAAGGCTGTGGCCAGCCCAGAACAAAAGCCAGAGAAGGAAGAGGAGAGGTCCAAGCCAGGATGTAGCACTTCCTTGGAGACACCCCTTCCAAAACCCTAGAGACAGTCCAACTTTGGTGGGTGGGTGACCACAGGACCCCCTCCTCTCAGCGGCCCCCCTCACCGCCTCTTCCCCAGGCTGGGACCCTCCCCTGGGCCACACCCCCTTCCATTCCTACACTCAGCCCAACAAAGAGACAGATACTCAGTCTGGCTTCAAGGGCCAGGTCTCCCCTAAAGTCTGTAACTCCAGGCGGCTGGGGGTCCCAGGGGTGCCCCCTCCCCAACCTAGGAGCAGATACCAGAGTACAGGCTTCTGAGTAACTCTTGCACATTCCGTCAGTTTTTCTGGTTAGGAGGAGTGGACACCCCCTCCGGACAGCCTCCCTGGATTGGGAGACCTATCCCCTCCCCTTTCCCTCTTCCAGTGCGAGGATATTTCTTTGTCTAAGGGCAGAGCCCTGGGGGCGGAAGGATCTGGAGAAACGTCCCGACTAGGGGTAACAGGGAACTTTGTAGCACTTAGAAATCAGGGTAGGGGGCGGGTCCCCCTTTGTGGGGAAGGGACAGAGCCGGTGGCGGGCTAGAAGGGAAGAAATGAACTTTCCGTGCTGGGGACGGGGTGCCCCCACTACAGTCCCTCTCGCCGGTCCCGGCGCCCCGCTTACCTTGCCTGCCCACGATCTCGGCCACGTGCTCGGAGGTGGGCACGGGAACACACTCCGTGGTGTTGCTGCTGCCCTTCAGGCGCAGCTCGGCCTCTTTGTAGAGAGCGCAGAGCTTGGCGTCGCTCGCCCCTTTGGGGGCGGTGGGGGGCTGGGGCGTCTGCGCCGCGGGGGCCGCCGTCGGGGCGGCCGGGGGCGCCGCGGGCGGCGGCGGCGGGGCCGGCTGCGGGGGGGCGGCCGGCTGCGCGGGGGCGCCGCCCCCCCCACCTCCCCCGTCCTCGCCCGCCGTGGGGGCGGGGGGCTCCCCCAAACCCAGGAGGCAGAGTTGATCGAGAGCCAGCTGAAGGGCGCGCTCGTCTTCCAGCAGCCCTCGGTCCTTAGCGCTTCCCCCGAAACATCCTAGTTCTCCAAAGCCCCCATTTCTTTCCATTATTCCAGATACCACTAGACTAGGCATGGCGAAACAAAAGCTGGGGGAGAGAGAGAGGGAGAGAGAGAGAGAGAGAGGTGGTGGAAGGGAAAAGAGGAGAGAGGAGGGGAGGGGAGAGGAGAGGAGGGGGTGTGTGGGGAGGGGGGAACAAAGAACTGGGGAGGGGGGAAGAAAGCGAGATAGAAAGATAGACCCTCCCCCTAAGCCCCCCTCCCCAAACACCCTGTAACCCGACTCCCCTCGCCCCAGCCCCCGGGGTGGGGGTGGGGGGAAAGAGAAGCAAAACCAAGAAAGCAGATCTCCTCTCCTCTCCCGGGGTGACGGGGGGCGGGGGGCTGCGGGATCTCTGCCCCCACCCCTCCCGCCTCGGACCTGGGAGTCTCTAGTCCCCGCCGTCCAGGCGCCCCCGTTAGGCTCCCGCACCGAGCCCCAGTCCGGGAGCGGCGCTCAGTGGCCCCCAATAGAGCCCAGCCCCTTCCAGCGCTCAAACTCTTTTGTTTTAAATGAACTGGATGGAGCAGCATGGAACTGACGGGAGGGGGGCGCGCCGGGGGCGCCCGGGGCATGCCGGGAGTTGTAGTTTCCCGCCCTCGGGGGCGCGGGGACAAATTCCTTGACCCGAGGAGGATAGGGATGTGCCCTTCGGTCTTTCCTCGGAGCTCCAGGACAAGCTGGGGGGTGGGATGGAAGTCGAGGTCCCTAATTTTGTAAGGGGCGGGTGCGGGGAGAAGGAGTAGTCTGCGGAAACGGAGCGGGTTTGAAGCCGGCTAGCGCCGCGCGCCCCCTCCCAGGACCCGCTCCTTCCCCGCTCCGGCCGGTCCTGGGGGCCCGCTTTCTTATGGAAATGAGGGGGGCGCCGGGGGCGGGGAGCGGTCCCTGCTTGCTCACTGCGGCTTTCTCTCTCTCTCCCCTCTTCCCCCTCCCTGCCGCGCTCCGTCTCCGCTTCCCCCTCCCGCTCGCCCGGAGTCGATCCCGGCGCCCAGCCGCGGGGAGAGGTTCTCGGCTGAGCAGACAAAGCCCGCAGCGGCGATGGGGGGAGAGCCGGACCCTGCGCGTCGTGGGGGTCAGGAAGGGGTGCCAGGCTGGGGCTGGAACCCCCCGGCAAAGGATGGGGTTCCCTCATCCCTAAGCAGCAAGCCCTCTCCCCTCGCCCGCCCCCCGCCCCTCCAGCCTCGGAGGTCTGAGGCACCGACTGGGAGGTGAGTTAGTTCACGTCCTTCTGCTCCGTGGAGGGGGTCTGGAGGGCGGTGGAGGGATGAGGTGCGGAGGTTGAAGAAGTTCCGGGACAGAAGTGGGGGTCGGACGGAGAGTGGGGAGGCAGGAAAAGTCTTAAAAGGCCTGGGGTGACTTAACCGTTTGGGGTGAGGGCCTTGAGCTTTGGGTGTGACAGAAGGAGGAAGGAGAGACCGGGATGGACTGGGAACCCAGGCTTCCTTCAGGCCTGGGCTGTGACTACAGCGTGGGGTGATCCGTTCTTTTTTTCCTTTCTCTCTTTTTTTTACATTCAGTCTGGCTCCCCCACAATGTAGGCGATCTGTTCTTTAGCACTCATCGATTTCCACTGTTTCCTCCACCCCTCTCCCATTGAAAACCTATGCGGGGCCGGGCGTGGTGGCTCACTTTGGGAACACTTTGGGAAGCCCTTGGCGGGTGGATCACCTGAGGTTAGGAGTTCGAGACCAGCCTGACCAACAAGGTGAAACCCGTCTCTACTAAAAATACAGAAATTAGCCTGGCGTGGTGGCCCGCACCTGTAGTCCCAGCTACTCGGGAGGTTGAGGCAGGAGAATCACTTGAACCCAGGAAGCGGAGGTTGCAGTGAGCCAAGATTGTGTCACTGCACTCCAGGCTGGGTGGATGATGTAGCCAGAGTCATCTCAAAAAAAAAAAAAAAGGAAAACATATTCAGTCCCGTTTGACCGGACATTTGGTGAGAATGAAAATAAGTTTTTAAGGCTTGGAGTTTTAAGAGTTTCAGGAAGGTGGAGTGTAATGCAATCTTTTCTTCTCCCTTTACCCCATATCTTCTGCATTTATTTTATGTCTTTTTATGTCTGGACCTTTCCCAAGGGAAGAAGGGATGGCACTGCAGCTTGAGGGCTTGAGGTCAGACTTTAAGAAGAACTTCCATAAAGAGTTTTATAACAGTGGGTGGGTGAGCCACAGTGGTAAGGTGTCCTTTCCTGGAGTGACTTGAAAAACAAAAATCTAGGCCGGGCGCGGTGGCTCAAGCCTGTAATCCCAGCACTTTGGGAGGCCGAGGCGGGTGGATCACGAGGTCGAGAGATCGAGACCATCCTGGTCAACATGGTGAAACCCCGTCTCTACTAAAAGTGCAAAAAATTAGCTGGGCATGGTGGCACGTGCCTGTAATCCCAGCTACTTAGGAGGCTGAGGCAGGAGAATTGCCTGAGCCCAGGAGGCGGAGGTTGCGGTGAGCCGAGATCGCGCCATTGCACTCCAGCCTGGGTAACAAGGGCGAAACTCCGTCTCAAAAAAAAAAAAAAAAAAAAAAAAAAAAAAAAAAAAAAAAAAGAAAAACAAAAATCTAAACTAGTTTGTAAGGTAAAAGTCCTGCTCAGAGGCAAGGGAAGAGATGAATTGACCTCACAGATTTAGCAATGTGGGGTCTTGAGGGCTGAGCTGTTTAGCCCAGTTCCCTAAACTGTTTCTTGGAAAGAGTGAATTTTCTTTTCTTTTTTTTTTTTTTTTTTTTTTGAGACGGAGTTTCTCTCTTGTTTCCCAGGCTGGAGTGCAATGGCGCGATCTCGGCTCACCGCAACCTCCGCCTCCTGGGTTCAGGCAATTCTCCTGCCTCAGCCTCCTGAGTAGCTGGGATTACAGGCACGTGCCACCATGCCCAGCTGATTTTTTGTATTTTTAGTAGAGACGGGGTTTCACCATGTTGACCAGGATGGTCTCGATCTCTTGACCTCGTGATCCACCCGCCTCGGCCTCCCAAAGTGCTGGGATTGCAGGCTTGAGCCACCGCGCCGGGCTGGAAAGAGTGAATTTTCACACTAATGGGAGCACTGGAACCTGAACTGAGGATCTCAGAAGGGGTGGGGTTGCGAGGTGGTCGGCACTGCAGGGTCCTTTTCCCTTTGCTAGCCAGAAGATCCTGGGAAGGAGAACCTTGACTGAGGAGCCCAGGAAGGCCCCGGAGTTTGGAAAGTTTGCCCCCTGGACTGGGGATGTAACGTCAGATCAATAGTAAACCTTATTGTGAGATTCGATGCTACTGCCACCAAGCAAGAGTGAAAGAAGAAGAATTGGAGAGACAGGGCCCTGGAGGGTGGGCCTGTTTCTGCCTCTTGTCCCCTCCGTCTGCCCCAGGAACCTGGATTGCAGAGCCTGTGGTACTGGGGACCATGAGGTCTCTTTGGAAGAAAGGGTTTGCTTTGTGGACCAGGTGACTCTTTTCACATTAATAGAAATAGCAAACAGTTGCATAGGACTTAATTGTGTGCTAGGCATTTTTGTGGGGCTACCAGCTGGCTGAGCCTCCCTGTCCCCACTGAAATGAGATTCGCCCCAGACTCCCACCCTGAACTTGCGCTGCCTCTGCTTTCCTCTCCACTAAGCTAATTAAAGCAGGAGGTTAATGACCAGAGAACCCTTGGGGATTTGGCCAGGGAGGAAAACAAAGGGCAGAAACAAGAGTGTATTTGGGGGGGAGTGAGCGGGGGCAGCTGCAGAATGGTGCAGGGGCTGGCTGAGGGGTGGAGTGGGTGAGGCAGGGTCCCTACTGGACCGGACTTCCTCCCTGATCCAACAACAAGAATGAATCAGCCCTCTGGGTGAGTTAATGTCCACCCTCAGGGTCTCACTGGGACTCCAGACATATTTCCTTCACAGCCGATGTGAACCTGACACCTGGAGGGAAAAGGATATGTGTGTGAATGCAGTTAGGTATGTGGCCTGGTGGACATGTGAAAGTGTGTGGATCATGTGGGAGAGTGCCCAGGTTCAGAGGACGCTCAGGGTGGGCACTTTGAGGAGCTGGATCTCAGAGCAGTTTTTCTTATTTTTTTGAGTCAAAGTCTCGCTCTGTTGCCCAGGCTAGAATGCAGTGGCGCGATCTCGCCTCGCTGCAACCTCCACCTCCTGGGTTCAAGCGATTCTCCTACCTCAGCCTCCTGAGTAGCTAGCTGGGATTACAGGCACACACCACCGTGCCTGGCTAATTTGTTTTTGTATTTTTAGTAGAGGCCGGGCTTCACCATGTTAGCCAGGATGGTCTCGATCTCCTGACCTTGTGATCCGCCCACCTCGACCTCCCAAAGTGCTGGGATTACAATCGTGAGGCTGGTTGCCTTCTTTGTTCAGGAGACCCCTTCCCTCGACTGAGAAGCTAGATTTCTGTTCACGGGCTCTCCTTTTCCCTACCTGCCCAATCCAGAATTATGGCAATCAGAGCAGAAGGCCTTATTTAAACAGTAGTCCCCACTCTCTGCCTTATGAGCAGAAAGGTGTAGAGGTGGCATACTTCTCCCCTTCAGGACCTTGGAGGACAGCATTGTGTCTCTTATCTTCATCATGGTCCCCAACCCTAGCTGCTCAGAACCTAGCATGCATCCCTGCCTAGAACAGAGGCTCAATAGGGGTGTGTTGAGTGTAACTCCGCTTTAAAACTTCATCGTGTAAGAGGAAAGAGCAGGTCTCCAGAGACAAACATGCGGCTTATTCAGCCACCTTGGGCAGTCATTTACCGCTGAGCCTCAGTTTCCTTATCTCTAAAATGGAAAGGATAAGCCAAGGTCTGGCAGGGTGTGGTGGCTTATGCCTGTAATCCCAGCACTTTGACAGGCCAAGGTGGGTGGACCTCTTGAGGCCATGAGTTCAAGACCAGCCTGGGCAACATGGCGAAACCCTGATTCTACTAAAAACACAAAAACTAACTGGGTATGGTAGTGCATGCCTCTAATCTCAGCTACTTGGGAGTCTGAAGCAGGAGAATCGCTTGAACCCAGGAGGCGGAGGTTGCAGTGAGCTAAGATGACGCCATTGCACTCTAGCCTGGGCAACAGAGTGAAA